GTTTCCCCCACTCGTGTCCCAGCCGTCCCCCAGGCTGCCTGGGGACTGGTGGGGGTTGGTGTACCCCGAGCTGGATGGGGCTGACACGTGGTGTCCCCCTGTGCCTGCAGGAGAAGATTGGGGACCTGGTGAAGAAGATGCTGGAAGGTTTTGGGACCCAACGCTACATCGCCAACCTGGGCCACGGCCTCTACCCTGACATGAGCCCCGACCACGTGGGTGCCTTCGTGGAGGCCGTGCCCCCGTGCACGCTCATTCCCGCCACATCAACAAGCACAGCTGAGCCTGGGGGCTTGGGGACAGGACTCCTGTTTGGGGACAGTCCCCCCCAGTTCTTTGTTGTCACAGGGCTGGCTCCAGGCCGGGCTGCAGCATTAAACCAGCGCCTTCTCCGCAGCAGCCGTGTGGCTCTGGTGGGGCGGGGGGGGACCCAGGAGATGGGCAGTGGGGACAGGAGCTCTGGGGGGTGCCCTGAGCCCTGTCCTGCAGGTCAGAATGGGGAAACGGGGATGCCAGCAGAGCAGGGGGTGCCTCTCCCTGCCAGCCTGCAGAGTGGTGCTGCCCAAGGCTGCCAGGGTCACAGCTTGGGGGCTCTCACAGCCCCCCTCTGCCATGGGCTCGGTGTGAGCTATGCCCCCATCCTGCTCAGGGGGGTACAGGGCACCCCCACATGGATGGGACACCCAGCAGGACTCAGCCCCCCAGACGTGAGCACCACCAGCACCCTGCCACCCTGGCAGCGGAGACACCGTGGCTCTAGGCCCCCTGTCACCCTCCTCCAGCTCCGAGTCTCTCTGGGACCACTTCACTGGTCCTGAAGATCCCTCCCCAGTGCACAGCCCCTACCTGGGGCTCAGCAAACCCTGCCAAAAGCAGCGCAGGGTGCCCAGGGCTATGACTGCCCCCCTGTCCCGCTCGCTGTGCTCCAGGCTGGGTGCATCAAGGCACTGAAGCAGCTGGCAGTGAAGGACCAGTGCCCCCACAGCGGGCAGGGAGCCTTGTCACTGCTGTGTCCCCCTCCTCGGGGCACCAGGGCTGGCTACCATATAGGGGTGCAGTGCCACCCCCTGCCCTGCTTGCGCTGCCCTAAAGCCCCAGCCAGCGCGGCAACCCCTGTGAGAAAGGCAGTAGAGCTGCAGGCGGTAACGTTCATCCCTTTTATTATTAAACATCAGATGAAGAGGTCGCACACACACATACACGCACGCACGCAAAAAAAAAAAATATTAAGGGTGGGGGGAAAAGGAAAAGAAAACAAAAAAAAAACCAAAAAAAAAAGAGATAAACAGACTGGTTGAACACCGCAATTTCGGTGGCGACAGAGACCGAGTACAATTGGTTTCCTGGCCGGAGCGCGGACACAAGTCACTTGCCAAAGAGCAGTCCCAAGTCAAAGCAGACAGCAGAGAACTTATCCCACGTCCTCTACCCACGAGTCACCATCCAGCCCGGCCCTCCCGC